AAAAAAAAAAAAAAAAAAAAAAGTTTAATGAATCTCCTGCTATTATTTAGGTTGGTTTCACATACTTAAACTAATGGAATAAAACCCCTTGTATCATTCATGTCTGTGAATGAACGTTCTATTCTAATTAGTAAGATTTTTGGAGTTAGAAACACAGTAACTCACTCAATTACCTAAACATGTAGCATAAAATCAGGCAGAAAAGACTTCCTCTTATTGGTCTGCTTTCCTAGAATTAACCACGTGCTTTGTGCACATTAATACATGACTTCTATTGGCAGCTGCTCTACTCCTGGTCTACAGAGAGCTGACGGTGCATCCAGATGTGGCCCCTGAACAATCCCTGCTGCCCAGCAGCCCTGACACCACGGGGCCCACACCCCGTCTCCATCCACGTCTGGGGAGAGCCCTTCCCAGGACCAGGCCCAGTGCAGCCTCTTCCCAGGCTCATGTCACTGGGTCACCAGACATGGAATCTAAGCAAGGTAAGGGACTGAGGGAAGGCATGGGTGAGTGCCAGCAAACCTGTCAGGCAGGACCCTTCAGACTCAGAGAAGATTCCCAACTCCAAGGCCCAGCATTTCTGAAAGGAAGGAGACAGAACAATCCACCGAGAATATCATCTCACCTGAGGAAGAGCCATCCCTGACTCCTTTGCTTTCCTCTTCCTCTTCCAGGGCTCTTCCTCACATATCAAGAGTCATTAGAAGTCAATCCTGAGGCCAGACGCGGTGGCTCACGCCTGTAATCCTAGCACTTTGGGAGGCCAAGGTGGGCAGATCACAAGGTCAAGAGATCGAGACCATGGTGAAACCCTGTCTCTAAAAAAATAAAAATAAAAAATAAAAAAGCCAATCCTGAATGTTATAAATATGCTTGTTGCTCAGAATCAACACACCCCCTCCCTGTAACACAACGACACATATAAAGGAGACCTCACCCTGAGGAAATATGGTCCCCTTGTCTGCCCACTGCACCAGGGATGACACACTCCTACAAGAAAACTAAGTGAATTTTTGAATCCTTTCTTCAGAAACTACTCCCCTCCTGGAGAAGCCCAACACACACACTGCATCAGTGGGAAGCTGGGCTGGAATGAGATCCCCTTCAGGGCACAGACCCAGCCTTCACCAAAGCCCAGGCAGAGGCTGGGTACAGTAGCTCGCGCCTGTCATCCCAGCACTGTGGGTGGCCAAGGCGGGTGGATCGCTTGAGCTCAGGAGTCCGAGACCAGCCTGGGCACCATAATAAAACCCTGTCTCCACCAACAACAAGAAAACGTAGCCAGGCGTGGTGCACGTCTGTGTCTGTGGTCCTTTTTCTTTTTTTCCTTCAATTCTATGTTCAACAGCCAAAAGCCTGGACATCTCACATTTTAGTCCTGCCTTCCAGTAACAGCTACTTAGAAGGCTGAGGTAGGAGGATGGGGCAGAGATTGCGGTGAGCCAAGATTGCACCACTGCACTCCAGCCTTGGTGACAAGAGTGAGGCAAGAAAGCAAAGAAAGCAAGAAAGAAAGGAGGCTGAGATGGGCGGACCATGAGATAAGGAGTTGGAGACCAGTCTGGCCAACAGAGTGAAACCCTGTCTCTACTATAAATACAAAAATTAGCCGGGTTTGGTGGCGGGCACCTGTAGTACTAACTATTTGGGAGGCTGAGGCAGGAGAATCACTTGAACCTGGGAGGTGGAGGCTGCCAAGACCATGCCATTGCAGTCCAGCCTGGATGACAGAGTGAGACTCCATCTCAAAAACAAACAAGTAAACAAACAAACGAAAAAGGAATACTTTAAACCCACAAAACTTTGTCAGTGGGGCCCTGGAGATGCTCACCCTGGAGCCTACTCCCACCTTGTGGAGTGCTCTCTTGCTTCAGTAAATCCCTACTTTCCTTTGTTCTTTTGTTACTCTGTGTGTGTGTGTGTGTGTGTGTGTGTGACTGAAGCAGAGTCTTGCTCTATCACCCAGGGTAAAGTACAGTGGCACGATCTCAGCTCACTGCAACCTCCACTCCCAGGTTCAAGCAGTTCTCATGCCTCAGCCTCCCGAGAAACTGAGATTACAGGCACGCGCCACCACACTCAGCTAATTTTTGTATTTTTAGTAGAGGCCAGGTTTCGCCATGTTGGCTAGGATGGTCTCGAACTCCTTACCTCAGGTTATCCACCAGCCTTGGACTCCCAAAGTGCTGGGATTACAAAAACCTGGACATCTCACATTCTAGTCCTGCCTCCCAGTAACAAGAGGGAGAAAATGGGTTAACAAACCTGCTTCCAGAAAGAGCACATTCTCCAGGGATTGGAACTGGGGAGAAGCAGGGCTCAGAATGAGGAAAAAGGAGGTCAGGCGCTCAAAGAGATTCAGAAATTTGGCATGAAAAAGATGGGAACTCCAGGTCTATGCATTGATATTGGGCTCAACAAAGCTGTCTAGCCAAAGGAACAAGGAATCTCCCATACCATGTTTGTGTGCAGTTGGCCAGAAAATGTAATGAGGATAAAATTCACCCAATAAACTCTTTTTTTTTTTTTTTTTTT